ACATCAGTCAAATTAGAGGTCCACCCAATTCTAGCCTGACCTCATATTAACTAATTGCATCTACATTGACCCTGTTTCTAAATAAAGCCTCATTGGAAGGTACTGGGAATTAGGACTTCAACCCATAGTAGCCCGTATGTTTAGTTTCTTCCAATACTAAGTTTAATTAATTTAAATGATTAGGGATAATTTTATCATGAGAGAATACTTATATGTGTGGAAAGAAAGAGAAATGTTTTAAAATGGGGAGAATGTAACAATAATTCCAGGTTCTCAATACTAATTGCCTCCAACAATCTCTACAAACATTACTATGGAGTCTTTACTCACTTGAAGCAGCTGAAGTAGATGATTGGCCTAAATAAAGTCTATAATTTTCTTGTGAGTCTAATAAGGGAATACGTATCACATAGCTATTTAATATAACCCGGCATTGAAAATGAGGAGAAAGAGAAAGATAAGCTAATTGTTGCAGTTGAAATATACTGATTTGACCATTTCTTAGGAGACCTTGGAGGATGAAATGCAGAACTTTATAAGATGAGGAGAAATGATTGCTGACACTGACTTGAAAATCGCATTTAGTTTCATGTTTTGCTACATGAGAATAAACACAAATTGTAAAATGCAGTATCTGATTTGCCAGCAAAGCAAATAAGGTATTGTTTGTATCTTTACTTACATTCATACCATATTTCAGTGTTTCTCTCTTGTTTTCCTCAGTGGGAAAACCCCCTAAAACGTATATTTTTCTTGTAACATTTTATAGGTATTGACTTAAACACCATTGATATCTAAACATATTATGTCACTGAAAAAAATGACTATCAAGACATTTAGTGTTTATATACCTGATGTTAAAATCTTTTTAATGCTGAGTTGATTCGATTAGTGACCCCAACCCTAATACTTCTTGTAACCATAAAAAGCAGTCTTTTAAAAATTGTAATACCTCATGAAACACTGGTTTTAATTTACTTCTCCTTGAAAGACCTCGCTGGGAATATTTGCATTGTCAGCAGCTTAAATTGACCACAGAGATAATAACTAATTTAGAAAACTGTAAGATGATTTAGGCATTTAAGATGTGTATAAGGTAATTAAAACCAAACGTTAGGAGAGCTAAGGCCTCACTGTAGTTGGTTATTCTATAGCTGGGGTCACTGCCTAAGTTGTATGAAGGCATATGTTCAATTTACGGTTGTAATGAGGAACATGGGGTATTTTGATTCTTCATTTGCTGTGCTCATCTCTAGAGGATGCAATTGCCTGTATTAAACAATGAACATGGACTCTTTTGTGGCGGATAATAAAAATGTGTAAGATAATACATGCCACATGCATGTATGTTTGGCATATGGCTTTTCTCTGTGTATGAAATTGTTGTCCTTTGTTGCTATCATGGAACAGGCTCATGGAAATGTTCATTATTAGCCACTTAGGAACAAGACCAATTCCTTTGACCTCATTAGTTTGATCATGATTATTCCATTTTAACTAATACATGGTATTTATGAAGGTGTTTTCCACAGATTATTCACTTGCAAGGGCATTTTGTGTTGTATTTTTTACTATTCTGCAAAAATAAAGATAAATAGATAAAGTTTAGGTAATAAAGTTTTCTTTTGTCACATGTTGAATGTAGTTGAATGTAGTAAAAGAAAAATCAGGTTTTTTCTTTTTTCTTTTTTTATTTTACACTTAAAAATGAATGACATCAGGGTTTCAGAATTTTTCTATATTTTGATATATTTGAAAATACTAGCACATACTCTTGGGATAAACTGAAAGAAACATTTATAACATCATGTTGTGATACAGGTTGAAGTAGAAGGACCAGCTTTTTATTCAGTGAAAACTTGCATTCATGCCAATATAAAGTCTGCAAAACCACAGTGAGCCTAGCTATATCCAGGACCTTACTCTTGGCTTAAAACAAAACAATGCAAATATAATCTTTCGATGGTAAAGAACATATGAAAGAGAAGGATCTTGAAACCTTTCTGATTTGGACAAACAGGTGAAGAATAACTGGAATTGGTGGGAAATATAGGAATAGAAAATGTGTTTACATCATAGTCTCATTTAATAAGATGTAGCAAACAACCATTTGGTGTTTGCACATGCAGCACTGCTGTCTCCTTGGTGTACTCTTCTTCACTAGTTGCAGTTGTGTGGGCTGCCAAAATCTTCACTTTGCCTCTCTGTGGTCATATCACTGAAGATTGGTCAATCGCAATGCCCAAATCTCTTATACTGATTGGTCTAGAGGTTGGTATGTGATCCAAACCTGGCCAATAAGGGTTACATCTAGGATGTTTACCTTTTTGGATCTTGCAGGAAGGGAGTTTGGGGTTTTTGGTTTTGTAGTAGGAGAGAAGTAGACTCTAAGCAATCTAGCCTAACCAAATAAAACCAATAAAAGGTAAGAGAAAATGAATGTCTGAGAGGAAGCAGATCTTCGTTGCTTCATTTCTAAGTACTATAGAACTCAGAGTTCCTTTTTCTCCTGAGCATCCTTCAAAGATATTCCTCTTCCTTTTTATTTTTTTATTTTTTTCAGTTTAAGTTGGAAAAGTCCTACTTCATGAAATAAACAAGAACTCTTAATCAATATGGTATATGTTTGCATGTATATGTCCTACTTCTAATGTACTAGACATCTTCTCTTAAATATTTTAAGATATACACATACATATATATATATGTGTGTGTGTGTATATATATATATATGTAACTTTATTTAGACAAAATTTGAACCAGCTAACCCTTCACTAATATGAAAAAGGTAAATTTTACTTCACTGAATAATCATAAACCTTGAATTGGCAGCATCCAAATTATTAGAACTGTGCAGCATTAATGCTGATCTATGTAAACTGGGTTCATAAACTTGCTTGGGCCCTGGAAGCAACTTGCATTATTATGTATTTTTTCTCTCTAATTTTCAAATCAAATTCATTTGTCATTCATCCCCTTGAAATCAGATTCTGCAGCCACCTGGCTTTCCTCCAAAAGTCTTCCATTGTTTCACAAGCCATCCTCGTTTCCAATTCATTTTTCTTTATCCACTCTGTAAATTAGGTGGACCTGAATACTTAGGAAAGATTGAAAGCATTTGGTTGTTATTAAAGTAAGGATAGCTAACTCACACATGTGAAACATTAAAGAAACCTTACAAATGTTTGAGTAATTTATTTTTTTCTGTTGTTGTTTGGGGCTGTTGGGCATTTAACCACATCCTGCCATGCACATACTTGAGCTTCTCTCTTTATTACCAGGTAGAGTTTCTGACTAATAAAACAAACAAGGACAATATTTTAATTTTCTTTTCCCAACATTTTTATTGTTTTTATTTAAATGTAACATGCTATAACTGTTCGGCCTTTTGGGAGTTAGGAGGAGGGAGTGATTCTATACCTTTATGAGGAGTATTTTCAGAAGCAAAACTCAAATAGACACATATTTGTGGCTGATGCACTTTAACTTTGTGGGCCTAGGGCCATACTCCTACAGAGGCAGAGCTCTCAAAATCTCCAATTTTTTTTTTTCAAACCTACAACATTCAGGGCTGAAACTGATTTTTTTTTTTTCAGTAGTTGCAAAAAGGACCAGAATTCTATTTCCATTTGAAGCAAATATGCCACTTTTAAATGCAAAAGAATGTCATTACTACTTACCAAACAATCTTCCTTCCTTCCTCCCTCCCTCCCTTCCTTCCTTCCTTCCTTCCTTCCTTCCTTCCTTCCTTCCTTCCTTCCTTCCTTCCTTCCTTCCTTCCTTCCTTCCTTCCTTCCTGTCTTTCTGTCTTTTCTCTCTTTCCTTTCTTTCTGGCTCTTGTTCACCCAGGCTGGAGTGCAGTGGCAAGATTATAGCTCACTGTAGCCTCAAACTCCTGGACCCAAGAGATCCTTCTGCTTCAGCCTCCTGAGTAATTGGGACCACAGGTACATGCCACCACGCATGGCTACATTTGTTTTGTTTTGTTTTGTTTTGTTTTGTTTAAGAGAAGGATGTCTCCCTAGGTTTCTCAGGCCTGTCCAGAACTCTTGGACTCAAGCCATCCCATCTTCCCACCTCAGCCTCCCAAACTGCTGGGATTACAGGTGTAAGCTACTGCATCAGGCAGGATTTTTGTCTTACTGTGAGGGGAGTGTGGTAGAGACAGGGAGATGTTTTCTATTTTTGGTGTCTGCAAACTGTAATACATTTTGCTAGAAGCTGTTTTAGTGTCTTGAGTACTATAATGATTACTGTTTACACATAGCCTCTTTGGTAATCTAAATGGCTATGTGAAATAAGAATCCAGTTTGTGCCCTATTTGCTGTTACTGTGGTCATCCAATGTGTATTTGTCTCACCAAACATTTAATTTTGGTTGTGGGTGGTCTATGTTTATGTGTCAGGTGCAATTATTATTTTAAAATAAAGGAAAAAAAGATACCTAGTTTTGATAGGAACACATTACATTATAGCTCACAGACTGAATTACCAATTGAATTTTAACATCCATATTCCAACCACAACAATTAAACATTTTTATAATCTCGTTTGCCAAAAAACAAGTTGGAAGTAAAGTATGATGAAATGGAATTTAAGCTATAAGCCAAAAGACAGTGCCTCAAATGTGTTTCTTCTGAAATACAATTTTTTTGAAGAATATGACCTTTTATAGGATTATTTTATGCAAAAAAATTCTTCATAAAGCAATTTTAAAAAATAACAGATTAAATGGAAGTGCTGGTTAAGTACTGACACCTATAAGTTTATAAGAGAATCACAGAACACCAGCCTTTCAAGAGGTTAAACTTTAGTAAGACACATTTAGTGAGTCTTTTTTTTTGTACCAAAATACTGTGTCCAAACAATAAAACACTTTTTCAAAACAAGAAATATGAAGCTAAAATTGCAGCATCAATATACTTTTATAGGTATTGATTAAAATTATTTAGAACAAATAGTATTTTTCTACATTTTTAAAATCACCACAGACACTGCAAATAAGGCTTATGTATTTATTTAGTGGAATACAATGTGATGATGATTGGTAAACTGTTATGTACTGTTTTCTATACCTGCTCTAACAAAATGAATTTTGATATGGTTACATTATGGAACCTTGTAAAGCTCTTTAAATTTACAGAAAACAAGTTTTATTTGGTTTTGTAAAGATGAGGTCATACAGCTTGAACAGGTTTTTGTATATGGTTACACATATACCAGTATACATTTGATTTGCTCAGTTTAAGTCCCTGGGAGAGTTGCACTTAATATCAAATGCTTTGATAGTTCCTTTGGGAAAGATGCATTATGTGGAATTTACAGAGGGTTTTTAGAGATGTGGACAGTCTCTTTACCTCCATGACATATGGCAAAAAATCACGAGTAAATAATGAGGCGAGGCTACTTAAATTTATTTAGCAATTAATTTTCCTTTTTTAGTATATTCTTGGAGGTAAATTGATGTATTGAAAGAAAGGAATTTGGCCTTCTGATCTATTTATTGAGAGAGGAAGCCTCGAGAGTAATGTATGGTTTCAAGTGATAGCAGACATCTCTCACTCAAGACATGGCACAGCATTGCCATATTTACTGTTGATGGTTATTACTGCAGAAATACAAATTAAGTCAACTGATAGCACATGGGCACTAATACTGCTTCCCTAATCCCAACTCCTATTTTTGAAGTGTTTGCCAAGTTTTAAAAACACTTTGTCGTGAACATGCATGTGGTGTGCTGAAGAAAAAGAAAAGATAAAGACAGCTGCTGAGGATACTCTTTAAAACCCCAAAAGATATTTAACATCCTATTAAATAAATAACTTAGAAAGCAATAGAAAGGGATGAAGGCAGAATGCACAAGCATACCATACTATTTGTATTGTTAGAACAGTTTCACACTAACATGTTTATATTTTTAAATTCTATTCAATTCTTCCATGAGACCACATCCAGAACTCCTTTGGTTGTGCATATGATATGACCCAAGTGCTTTCCAGTAAATGCTTGCGTGTATTACTGCTCATTGATTCATTAGGCTTGAATGAGCAATGAAGTCTTTGATATGAGTTCGTATTCCATAAATAACTTTCCCGAAGATCATTCATTCAACAGATTGTTCTATGTCCTTTAAGTTCTATCTCAGAAGTTTCAAAACAAAAACCTAACAACAACAACAACAAAAACCCGGCCACAATGTTTTTCACTTGGGAATAACTTCTATCCCATTTGATCTGCCTATATCTTGATTATAAGACATGATACAGAACTAATTAAAAAAACATCATATGTCAGCAGTGAATACAAAAACCTTCAAAGTCTGGCTTTCTTTTAAGCAAGCAGACATCTGCAACATGTCTTTGCCTTTCAAGCTACTGTCTTCATGAAGAATACCCTCTTTTGCTATTCTTGGCAAAAGAGCCATGGTTCTGCTGCATCCACAAACATTGCCTTTCTCTATGAGTGTACCACCATTGGAAGAAAGTGAGCAGAGGTGTTTTTCCTTCGTGTTTTCTGTCCTCTCCTTGGAGCTCCTTTTCCATTCAATGCCACATACATTTGCCTCCCATTATGCTGCCAGTTAAAGGATGCATAGGTATTGTATCCATTTTCTTCTATCCTCTCCTTCAGCTTACAGTCATTGTTAAATTCTTTCTGCAAAGGAAAAACAACAGACTCTTTTATTCCTATGGTGATTGTACTTGATTTCATTTGATACAAATGATCCAGAGAACTCCAGTCCAAGGATTCTGTTTGTAGTTGCCATCTGTACCTAAGGTGTGTGCTTAATACATAATGTCAACAATAGAAAAGTAAATCTCAGAGCCACAAAACACATTCTGTTTGAAAGCACATGATACATTTTAATTGATCATCATAGTCATTTTTTGAAAGCCGTTTTAAAAAGCTGATGCGCTTTGAATATTACATGGTTTAAGGGCCTAGAATAATTGTCAAGAAGTAGACATCCCACTAACAATATTTGTGATGAGTCAGTAATAAATAATAGTCTTATAAGGCTTCTTTTACAGTAATAACCAGGGGCCCAATGGGAAAAAATAGAACTAAAGGAAAGATATGGGCTTGTCAAGTTTGCAAACATTACCTACAAATCCACAATAAATACACACACATATTCATAAGAAAGCAGATCTTATAGCAAAACCACAATAGTTCTACATAACCAAAAAGGGGGATATCTTCCTTCCAAATATCAAATTTCTCAATTTAATGAAATTATTTGCAATATTCTATAGCTTGTAATTTTGACAGATTTTGCTCATGAACTCCAGGGATTGAAACCTAGGACATGGAATTCCTCATTTTGTGAACTACTGTGTTGAAGAAATTGTGAGCATGGTGAATAGCAATGCCTATATTGTATAAGCCTAAGGACTTTGATCCTGGGAAGTTCCATCCTATAGACATAGAGCTTTGGTTTTGTTCAGGAGGCCAGCTGGATTTAAGGAGACATACCTGGACAAGGCTTTGCTCTCACTCACTCCACAAATCCAGGATCTTACTCTGGAGTTAAGAGGAGGTACCTCAATGATCTCAAGACTCTGGCTTTAGAAGTAAGCTCTTTTCTTATACTCAAACTAAAGTAGTTAAGAAGCTAAGGAATTGGAGCACTTGCCCTCTGGTTCTAACTTCTTCATCCAGAGCAAGGGCCCCGTAGGCATAGTTCAGTTGAGGACTCGGCAGTTTCTCTCACCTTGAGACATTTTGAAATTTCTACAAAATTCCAAATTCCTGAAAATGTATATGTTTATATACCTAGGTGTCTACAGGATATATCACAATTTTGAACATCATCAGAACCATAAGAAGCAGATATATTTTATGTTAATGTTACCAGCTCAAGTTACCTGTCCTGAAATATTTTAGTCTTAAGTACTTCTCTTCTATAAAGTAATATTTAAACATAACATTCAAATGATGATTTACCTGGCTGAAAGTAAGAAGGAATGGTAAATTATTTAAGGTAAGGATTTGGATAAAACAAAAATAATTCTGTATTTCAAAGGAATATAAATCCTTAGTATAGATTTACTTTTATTCTCTTTATCTCAGTCTGTCTAAAACGACCTACTTTTCAAAGCAGAGTGAATTTTTAAAATATGGATAATTATGTTCATTTCAGTAAATGGGGTACGTTTAGAGGCTAATGAAGGACAGAGATTATTTGAGGTGATTTCGTATTTCAGATGAAGCTATGTAGAGAAAAGTGGGAATGTATGCTTCATTAATTTTCCTCCCAAAAATTAATTTATAGAGTAATGTTTCTGAAATTGAAGTGCACATGTATCAGCCTTTTCTTTCAGATGTTTTAAATATTTGGGCCATAGATCAAAGGTACGAAAATCTCTGGAGAAGGGGCCTCGAATATATTGTTGACAGGATCTAAGAAAATCATAAGCAGTAATGTATAAAAAGAAAATTCAGGCTATGGCAAGGTCTCAAAAGCAGGGTTCGGGGAGTTTCTTAAAAAGAAGTTTGGATTTTTTCCAGCTACCTGAAAAATTTCTTTGGTCTTTAAATCATGCTCTATGAAGGCCTATTCTATTTAATTCCGTTTTATAATTTATTTACTGAATCCCATCTGTCAGGAGAAAACTCACAATACAATAGATACATTGCTTTGATAACGAATAATGAAAATATAAGAAAGGTATATAGTTTCCAAAAAGAAATAGAGGAAGATCATTCAAGAGAATAGATATAAAACTGGTTTAATCAGTCAATCTGAATCTTTGCCCAAATTCGATTTTTAGGAGGGCTTATGGAATCGATGGATACTGTATGAAACAAAAAAATGAAGGTAGAAATTACAAGAGTTGTCACCTAATATACAGAATTATATTAGTTATGCATTCATAAATTTTGATGTTAGTCCTATTCCATTCTGAGCAGAACATTCAACTTGAATAAATTTTTTGTTTAATTTTAACAAGCCATAATTTTCCATTATTCCTAGTAGAAATGTAAAGTCACAGAAAAAAGAATATTATGGTTAGACAATGAGTTTCTTTCTGAGACAGGCTGGAAGTGTAAATCATGTTCTGTAATTGACTGAGCTTCCAGGAGAGGTTAGGTTTATGCAATGTATAACTGTGCTCTGTACAGTTCTAAGTGCTGAACAAATAGCGGGGGACAAGACTGACCTCGCTGTCTCCAAGGTCACAATCTACTGGGAGAAGACACTGAACAAAAAACACATTAATGAGAGAAATCTCAGCTAAGTGCCACTGAAGATAATAGAAAGCCACTGGACTGTACTTTAGGTAAAGAATTTGAATGAAATAATTCACAGAGCTTAGAGCTCAAGATGAAGCATAAGCACAATCCATGAGCTGTGTTGGGGCAGAAGAAAAAAGGAGAAATGTGAAGAAGATTATTAAATATTTTTATGTCAGAGTTTATTTGAAAGTTATCCATTTCTCCCTGATGTCATGTTTTTAAATAAGTATATTTTATCAATTAAAATTATTTAAAATATTTTATATTCATTAAAATTATTTACATTTTCTTCCTTAGTCTAAATTAGTGTTAGCTGACTTTAAGACGTTGGGTCTAGACTAACTAATGAAAACATTAAACATGCCTCAAAAGTGATTATGATGTGAACCCCTAAATGGAACCACTTTTTATAATCGTCTGGTATTCCTCTGAGTTCATTTGGGGAGCCACGGTAATGGAGAAATTTTACTAAAATTCCTCTGACCCCCACACAAAAAAACCATTTACCCTAGTCCCAGGGACCAACTCAAAGCATGCCTGACTCCCCAGTTAAAAGTGAATCTGATATTTGTAAAACGCAAGGTTACCCTACGTCCAAACCAGCAGTTCTCAAATTGTGGTTACTGCAACAGCAGCATCAGGAACACCTGGGACCATGTGAGGAATGGAAATTCTTGAACTGCACCACAGACTTATTGAATCAGAAAATATGGCTGTGAGTACCATTATTCTGTCTTTTAATAAGCCCTTCCAGTGATTCTGATGCATACTCAAGTTTGAGAGCCGCTGGTTCTAAACGGTCACTATCATCAGCCTTATGCTAATCAATAAAGTAAGTTTATCTACAAATTTAAAGTGAAATTCCTTTTTGATTACATAAAAGTGTAAAAATGACACAGGATCTGTTTTGAAAAATATAAAATTATTTAAGAGATTTGTGTCACAGATTTTATTTTTGGCCATATGTAACATTACATGTTCTCCAAAAAATTCAGTTAAAATTTTTCCAAGTTTACAGCTGCCTTCGATACACTCCCCTGCAGTAGAATCCAGAGGAAAAAAAAATGAAATTCAGTTAGCATCCCCTTGATGTACCTATGGGAGGGACACAATAAGATGGATCCACATGCACAAACTAATATACCCCTGTCATCATTCGAATGACAGCTAAGAGATTGAAACTTAGTTCCCAACTTTATCATAGGGCTGCTTTACTATACTTGATCCTTTCATACATGTAACAACCAATGATGCTGTAATTATTTCATATTTGTTAACATTTTCCCCTAAATATATTATAAATTATTTGAAGTCAAGGCCCATTTCTATACTTCTTTCTTATGCATCTTTGATATGTCAAACAGTATCTGGCATATGGTAGATGTTGATATGATTGATTGATGCATTTTTTTTCTAAGGACCTGAACAGGACAAATTGTCTCACTGCTGGTAATTTAATTATTGTTACAATTGCAATTATAAAACAACTATTTGGTATTTTAAGTGAGATCTTAAATTTCTAAAAAATTGGTTTAAATGAGTTTGATCCAAGATTGCAGAAGTGGTATTCCAAATATTCAACACCTGGTATGGAATACAGCCATGGATGTGCCCAAAGGACTGCAGGGATATCTGCTCCACAAGGACCGTATTGCAAAGAATATTTCCCATATACATATATATGATTTTGAGGCATAATTTGAATTAATGGTTATTGTCTAGATAAATAAAATTCTAGAGTTGACTGAACAACAAGCAAAATGGTGTCTCTTGATGCATTTCCCCATTTCAGATTTTAACAAAATGCAAAACATCTGAGCCCTTGTTTTGTCTTCAGCCATAACACACACATAATACATGGGTTTCTACTCAGTTCAAGATCTTTATTCTTAGTGTTTTTTCTCCAAGTTGTCTGCAGTTCCCGTGCCAATCTGACCAGATGCTTCCGTGAGAGCCTGACTTGGTTAGCAGTTTAGAACATTCACAGACACATGCCAGCAGCAGCCTGTGTGGTGGACTAATGGGTGAACAACAGAGGAGATTAGAGAATTGGAAGAGCTGTTTGGCCAGCCCTTGAAACAGTGGTGACCGACCCACTGTGGCTCTATTTACTAGCAATAGAAGGATAACAAAGCTATTCAGTGTCTGGAGGAAACATTCCAAAACTGTGGTAATGATTTACTGAAGTGGATTTGAAAACAAAAGCAGAATACTTACTGAGCCATAGAGTTTCCCCTTCTTGTTCATGGCTAAGTAATAGTTGCTGTTAATGGCTTTGACGGCAACAACTCCGATTTCTACTGATGTTATCTCCAGGATGCCTAAAACATACAATTTGTAAAAGCTAAATAAATAATCCTAAAGCTATTTGGAAGAAAAGTAAAATCAAAAGAAACTATTGAGTTTTTTTTTTTTTTTTGGTGGTTCTAAAAACAAAAGGCTCAAAACATTGGTAAACAAGCAAATCTTGTTCAATGTGTCTTAAAACCCAGCAAGTATTTCCAGCAAATATATGGAAGAAAGTAATAAGGCTTTAAAAGAATTCCCCTTCATTTTACTCTGAGCATACATAGAAAAATATTGTTTTAATTAAAATGTTTCCTTTGCTAACTCTGCATTTTCAACCCTATAAATATTGAAACAACTCCACTCAGTTTAGATTTCAAAATAAGTTATCAAAGCACATATCTGTACTATGGTATTAAATTAAATCTATAGCACATGTCAATAATATGTCAGATTACCTCAATATGTAAAAACAGTGGTAAACTATTTCTTCTTTGTAGGATCTAGATAAACTAAATCTCTTGGCTACATTTAACTGATAGATTCATTTTTGGCAAATGTGTTGACATTCTGAGATACAGAGAGACTAATCCCAACATTTACACTGTCTCTGAAATAGCAGAATCACTGCTCTGTGTTGGGGGAAAATCCATAAACATGGACTTTTAAAGTTTTTTTTTCTAGGAAAAATGGAAAATTGAGGGAAGTAGTAAGAGGTAGACAACAGCTCCTTTTCCCCTTATACACAAGTTTCTATTGCTGCATCTAAAGATAATTTTCTCGGAAAAGTTCATAGATCACAATAGGGAAGGCAGTTTATCGTCTACCCGAAGTGCCCACCCATTTTAGTTTAAGAAGACTTAAGGAACTAAAACTACATATTTCAAAATTCTCAGCAGTTTGTTCAGGGTAGAGAAGTAGCATTGTGATTAGCATGTGGCTCCTGGAGCCAAAATACCTGGGTTCAACTCCTGGCTTTACATTTATTAGTGAATTACCACAGTAGAAGTCACTGAAGTGTCCCATGACTCAATTTTATTTGCAAAATGGGCAACATAATAGTACCTCCCTCATAATTTTGTTGTGAATATTAAATGAGATAGTACCTATAAAATGATTAGAATTTTCCTTAGTATCTTCTTAATTATCATTAGAGGGGAGTTTTTCTCCAACAGTTCCAGATTTTGGAAATTCTTCAATGGGCTTTGTAAATCCTGAGCGATACATACAAATTCCCATTGGCTTAATACATAAAATCTGAAAGTTGAGCATATTATCATTTGTCATGTATCATGAGAAACACCATCCCCAATGTTGTCTACAGATTATATGTTTTCACTCTACCCATAGAGATAGAGTGGCTTAACTTGTTCTCGAGAGATGAATACCTTCTGTCCTATTCCTTCACGGGTTAGCCTTATGGAGGCTAATAGAAATGCTTGAGTTTCCCCTGTTGCAAAGTTGACATAACCAGAGACTTTGCCAAAACTACGTGTCAGAGACCCTTTTGTCCATGTATCTGTAGGAAGTCTCTGACCTAACACAGCACTCCTTTACATCAAAAGAGGTATATCTCACTCTATTTGCAAGCCAAAACCAAGGAAAGATTGTGAAGGATAAAGGAGACATTATCTGTGGTTTTTTTACATCCGTTTCCCTTATGCTGATAGTTGCCCTAAGGTATACACACACGTACAAATACACACACACACACATTTATTTGCATATTCTGAAAAATATTTTAATTCACACAATAACCCTCTAAGGATACTATTGTTGGTCTCGATTACAAATAAAAAAAAAAAAAAAGGAAGATACTTAGATTATTTAACTCACACACACAGGTGGTAAGGTGCTAACGGTCAGGAATAATGAATGTTAACACTTAAGCCTCTGACTTTTAGATGCTATTGCTCGCCATGTCTGACTATGTTGCCTCTCCATCATCTCTTCCTCCTCTTTCCCATTCCTACAAGGGAATCCTGTTGTAAACCATCTGACAAAATGACTCATCAAGATAATTTTCTTTAATGACTTAATGTGCTGTTCCTCCCAAGGATGATGGCATGCCACAGAGGATAACGTCTGAATCTTAGAGAACAAAATCTAATATACTTTATTTATGTCATAAGCAGAAAATACAAAGCAGAGCAGGAGGTAGAATTCGGGGGCAAAAGATTAGCCAGTTCCTTACATTGTCTGGCTAAAAGACAAGAAAGTACTGTCAGTAAACTGCAAGATATTACCTTATGTATACTTTTGAAACTGAAAATTAATAGAACAAAGAGGAATGAAGGATGATTTTAATCAAAAAACAAACCAATATTTGAAGGTGCGTGCAACATTGTGGGATTAAACTATACTAACAGACTGAGCTATAGTAATAGTATAATATATATCTGAATTTTTGACCAATTATTTCTGAGGATGCACTGCATGTGGTATTGTAGATTATATTTAGCTTAGATACGCCTTGGTTTCTTTCTGCTTTACCTGATTAGGAGCGCAATATTCAAAGACTCAATCAACCTTTTTTTTTTCCCACTCTGCCACTAGTTTAGGCAAGCTTAAAAAGGTTTAGCTATTATTTTTATATTATTATTTAGTTATTGTCTCAAAATAGAAGGAGGGAAGACATAGGTGATTTAAAATCCTTTCGAATTTTGAAAATAATTTTTGGACACAGCATATGGTCAGGTAAGTTATAATTTGATCATCTTGTGGGTATTGGACAATGACTGCACCTCTTATAAACATCTGTGAATGTAAAAGGGGAGCTCTGAAGGACTGAAGCCTAGAGAACTTCTTTACTTTTCATAAGGAATCACTCCTGTTTTTTCTGTTATTTGGTGAGGATGATCAAGTTTGCCTATCAAATTATTTTTGGAAAAGAGCTCTAGAATTTTGTTTGAGGATTGTTGGATCAGTAGCTTATAGTTCTATATGTGTATATTTTGAAGCAAAACTAAACACCAGTTAAAAGAGCCTCCAGGAGGAAAGTGAGTTGAGGGCATACTGGATCTCCCTGTGTTTCTTACAAGTTTATGACTACAATTATCTTAACATTAAAAGTTAAAAAAAAAGTTTTTTTTACTCAAAGAAACACCTGAAAATTATATTATTAATGAAAGGTCACATGAATTATATTTCCCATTCATGTAAATCAGATATTTTATAAATTTATAGGCATATTCTTGTAGTGAAATTCTATTATCTATATTAAGTTGTAACTATATTAGTTTTTATATCCCTTAAAACATGAATAGCCCAGGTAGCATTGTGAATCTATTTAAGGGTCTTTGGACAATTTAGTTCAGTCACTTAGGAAGACCTAGGAGGAGAAGGGTACGCTTTTAGAAAATGAAAATATAAAGTCAAATACGTAATGGTTTTTCTATTGAAAAGTCTATGTACTATTGGGAATAAAAGACAAATACACAGATAACTACAATAAAACATGTTACATGGCAGTAAGTGATGACTTAAGATGATGACAAGGGGACTATGGGGAAAAGATAAAGGCAGGTCATACTGGCTGGGGTTCCACGATCAAATTACTGTTGGAAATGAGACCTGAACTGAGTCATGAAGGTTGAGTAAGAAGTGTCCAGGGGAAGGGTGGGAAGGCAAGAGCAAAATCATTAGGGTGAAACAGTATGGTGTTTTCAAATATCATAAGATGTTTGATTTACCAACTGGAGTACAAGGAACAAGGCAGGAAGTTGGGAAAAGTGAAGTTGGGAGATAATGAGACTCAGTTTAGTAAACATCTTGTGCAGATTCTAAGAATTTTGACAACTAGGAAGGATTTTGTCTACAAACATAAAATTGTTTAAATAATACATTAGAAATAAAGTAATATTTAGCAAATTTCTTCAATAAATAGTAGCAATCTATAAAGTTTATTTTAGATTATATTTAAAATCTTAAAAAAGTAAAGTTTTATAGTCAACATTACAAAAGCAATTATGACAAAAATCAGTTCATATTACTTTGCAAATGTTCCCTCATGATACATCATCACCTTAGTAATGGAGAAAATTTTGTGATAATCTCTGAGTGGAAATAACTTCGAAGTCACAATTTTCATGTACATGCATTTTTTCTTTTAATGCTCATGTATATAATTGTTTGGGCTGGTAGTGTTTTGATGAGTGACTAAATAGTTAATCTGAGAAGGTGGCCATTCACAAGCATCTTTCCCAGCTGCTGCTTCTCATTCTTCACCAGAAGAGGAGCATCTGACCTATTGCCCCCGTAGCAATCATACTGGACAAAAAGCTACTTCTGTTTTGGTGCTATTAGAATAAAAAAGCTATTGGTCTGGAGGGTAACTTTCTCATTAAATATTTTTCCATAAACACAAAAGGAAAAAGTATATGGCAAATAAAACTTGTATTAAATAGAATGGATATAGACAAGGAAAACTAATGTGAAAAATAAATGCAAAATCCTTCTATCCACTCCTAGATAAATAGAACACAAATATATAATGGGATTCTATAGACCGAGTCAATTAATTTGGCTAATGTGTATGGAGCACCAATGTGCAGGGTAGGTGTTAGCTCTCATTCTGAAGGTTACAAAGGCAAACAAGATTTGGTTTTTGCCTCAAGGAGTTTTAAAGCTCAGTAAGATAAAGACACAAATAAGTAATGACAATATAAAACATGAGAAAGAAAATATATTAAGTGTGGTATGAGAGATAAAATATGTTATACATTACTTTAAATAGTGAAGTCATCCTGAAGAAGACAGCTGGTGTTTGAGGTGACTTTTCAAGAGTAGGGTTTTAATAGGGGAGTTTTGGGAAGTTGAGAAGGAACATTCCAGGGAGAGAACGTGCATGCATAAAAACAGACTTGAAGAGAGAAAGAGCTCAAGTGCTTGAGCCACATTTCTCCCCACCTCCCCCAACAGCACTTTGAGGTGGCCACTAGCTAAAACTAAGGGTTCTGCTTCATTGAGTGGTAGTAGTGCTTTTCTGAGTGAGGAATGTACTTTCCAAAAAAAAAATTATTGTGAAATGTGGAAA